TAATTCAAATGAAATAAATACAATAGCGGACAAACGTTAGACGGTTCTATATCCGCTCATCTCCCTGACAAGCAGAAACTGACATGATGATGGTTGTACGGGTGATTATCATCGTCTTCATTATTATCTGCTTCACGATCTTCATTATCAACTTCTTCTCTAACATCTCATCCATCTATACAGTTTTTATTGTATGTTTGCATGTGCTGCATTTATCTCAGTGGGAAGAAAAAACAGTAATTAAAACTAAATGAGTCATTATCATATCGTCCCACAGTCTGAATTACTATAATTGCTGCAACCAACTGACAAACTGTGTTTCTTAAAAATCATTATTATGCCCTTCCAGTGTCGTGTCTTCAGACTGATCTGTTGTGGATTTATGATTTCTTTATATGCTGCGAGTCTCTGTTTACACCCAAAATAAACATCATAAGTTTCTCCCAGGACTGTTTGGTGAGTGATAGCACCATATTTCTTTTTTTTTTTACTTGTGAAGGGGACCATCATTCATGTCGAGCCAAATTAATTTAGAAAACTTTACCAAACGAAGATGTCTGAAAACAGCCTCGTCTCCTAGAATTTACATTTATAGACACACAACTAAACTCTGACATCGGAACGTGATTGCGGCCGGATTACGTTTTAGTCGTTAACGATAACTAGCTGGAATTAAAAAAAGGTGGCAGGAAAATACGCTGAGTTGCGTCTGTGATCTGAGATCAAGTCCAGAAATCTGTCAGCTGAACTGATTGGTCGGATTGCCTGCGCCCATCCTTCAACAGCAGCTGTCATTGGTCTGAGAATTTATCTGCCGAGCCACCTCCTGTGTCAAAAGGCACATCAACAGCAGGTTGTGCTTTGTCAATCTCACAGGCCATATGTCACTCATTTAAACAGCTGCCTCGCACCATCGTGTGTGTCTGTGTGTGTGTGTCTGTGTGTGTGTGTGTGTGTTGGTGGGTTTAGTGTTTTGCATGAATGCATGTGTGTATTTCCACATTTGCTGTGATGGTGTTGTCAGTGCAGCCCGTTTAGGAGAGAAAATATTTATTATTCCCATGTCTTTTATGTCTTTTAGTGTCGATATTTCAAGGATTTTATTTATTCAACTGTTGTCGGCATCCATACATTCTGTGTTGTGCTGCGTGTTTCATCATGGCTCATTGATTGCTATAACCGAAACTCTATGAACTATCGAACAAAACCATCAATTTACATATAAATATCCCCCGAGCCTTCGTGATGATGTGAGGAGCCAGGTGTCCAGATTTATATTCCAGTGAATGACATTTGGATTCACATTCCCAGCTCAACTCTCTCTCTCTCTCACTCTCTCTCTCTCTGTCTCTGTCGTCCTTGTTCTCTTGCTCTCCTACTGAGTACGACACCCTGATATTGGATTGACCTTATAGGCTGCAGAGATCAGGACATCATTAGCTGCGACCAGGCGCAGACTTGCTGCCCAGGCCTCCTGCACTAAGCCACTGGCCCCGGACGGATCATATGGCATTGATAGAAACCAGGTGGGCTTGGTTACACGGCAGCCATGGTGGCAAAAGCGATGTCAGCAATACCAATAAGAGATTGTCAAGGTTACACTTGCTGAGCCCTGGAATGACTACATGTCTTGTACATGAGCTGGTTTTCTATTATGAGTATGAAATATGAAATAACACGTAACTTGTACTGACACGTTTTTTTCTTATATATTAATTTTGAAATGCTCATTCAATGATTTCACATTCTTCTTGCACAAAGTTGGGGATTTAGTTTGAGACAGATTCTCAAAAAGATTTGAAAACTGGAGCAGCGGAGGCTTAGAAAATCGGACTTTTAGCCCGAAGTTCCTAAACAGCTGAATCCTACAATTCCCACAGTGCAACTCACCGGTCTTTAGACCCTCATTACCTGGGAAACGCCCCCTCCATGATTTGGATCCACACCAAAATTTAATGGGTTCATGAGACATGCCCCAACCACGTAATTCTATAATTTGTAAATTGAGTAATTTTTTAGGTAGGTAAATATATAATTACTTCACAAGCATTCACAGTAAATATATAAATATGTACATATATGTATGACTATGAATACTCCAATACTACGATTTAGCAAATATAACAATTTTTCTTACATCCTGGTTTATACAAAACAACTTTACAAATCATATCACTGATACTTTCATGGCAGCAGTATTTTTTAAAGGGCAGGTTAAATATTTGAATCAGTCAATATCTAATTCTTGTACAGAACTCCTGTCTCTCTCGAATTCCCTGCTGACCGTTTCACTCTCCCACATCCATGATCACAGGTAAAGGATCAAGCTGAGAGGGCTTATTGTTCTTCAATAGATTCCCCCCGGCGTCGTACTGAAGCCCTGGGTCTTAAATGACCACAGAAGGTATTGATCTTCATAAGGCTCTGTTTTTGTTGTTAAATAACCACCGCAGGAAATCCGATGAAAGGTCCTGACCTTTCTCCATCATTTCACCTCCGCCAGGCTGTATGAAAGCATTCCAGTGTGGCGGAGGGTTGCTGTGAGAGAGTAAATACCGTACATGTCAGTTAATGTCCGATTGGAAAACTGCCTTCGCATTATTGAGTGTTATTAACGATGGAGGGGTCAGCCAGCTGGATCCTATATGTGAGCGCGGTGCTTGGTTAGAATGATCTGTTCCCCGAAGGCCTGAATTCGAGGCGGGCACGGAGAGAATGATTATGGATTGAATTTATCACTTCTTACCACTGGTCTCTGAACACTTCTTAGGCTGGCGGGATGAAGCAAATTTCTCTTTTTAAAGCTCCTGTTTACTCTCACTGTTCGGCTGGGAAATTGTTTTTCTCATTAGCCACAGATGCGGCGGTCTGAGTTCTTTATATCGTCGGAGTATAAGGCTCCCATTCTGGAAGACGGGAGAGGCGGCCACCCCACTGCTCCCTGAACCTAACCGTGAAAACAAATGAAACAAAGATCGCACTCTTGCATGACAACGGGGGAAATCACTCTCCTTTCGACGGAGGCGCCGTCTCTCTCCCTCGCTCGCCGTGCACTGTCAAGGCCTGAGCTCCGAGCGGACCTCCAAGGTTGTTCGAGCACAAGAGGGGAATATAACGAGCTCCAGCACACATCATTGTTAAATAGTTGACACAAGTACAATTTATTGTCCCTGTGGCGAAACCGAGGCAGCCGCCATCCTCCCTATTACCCCTTAACTCCCTCTCTCACATGTCTCGGTTTCTGTTTTCAAGCTGTATGTGTGTGTGTGTGTGTGTGTGTGTGTGTCCACTGCAACAAAGATCTTCCATTTAAAAAAGACATAGCGAGAAAAAAGATCTCCTCATTTACATTCTCTCTCCCTCCCACTCGCTCTTGTTCTCTCTCTCTGTCTTAGCGGCATAACCCTTATTACCCTCCTAATTGGATCATGCAACGCTCCTTTGAGTCAGCCGAGCAGGCCTAGTGACCCACAATCCCTCAGTCTTGTTCTACCTCATCGCGTGGTTATCGCTCCGGGCCGAGGAGCAGGTTGCAGATAGCATATCGCGGTCCCACAGGAAATAAAATGGACTGCGGAGATCTGTATCTAAAAACAGGGAAGTCAAACATCCATCTCCCTGAGAGGAAGGAAAAAATCTTTGGATGTGTGAAAATGTAGGAGCCCTACTATTGTTTTTTCTCAAATAAAATGTTATGGCGTCTGCTTATCAGTATTCCTGCCAGTGATCATCCCTCGACAAAGTGGCAGTCTGGGTCGAACACGCCGCGATACTGGAGATATGAGCGGCTAATGTTGCAGATAGCGCAGTTCTCACCTTTAGATAATTTTGCGTGTAGAATGTCGGATGATTGCTGATTATTGAACCGCTTTACAGTTGATCTGAATCTCATCAGCACTTAACCTCATTGTTCCTGGAGCAGAGGTGAGAGGAATGTCAATTGGAGTGTGTTCAGCGCTCGCTGGCTCTGTTTCAGCTCCGTCTCTCTTTTCCATTCACTCCCTCCCTCACACACACACACACACACACACACACAAACACAGGCAAACGCATTCACAGCTCTCTACCCCTCTCGCAAACAAACATGAGCACATCAAGAGCTCCACTTTCCCCTCCCACAAACATGCTCACACAAACACCCAGACTCAGTCGGTGTCTATGGTACAGAGCAGACACGGGCCCATGAAAAATGCATGTCCCTTTGTGTGTTTCATAAGAAACACTCATCGGGATTCCATTCCCATTTCAGCTGAAATACCACACAGGAATATCAATTAGGCTGGCAATTTGGGTGGCGGTGCAGAGCGGAACGCGCTGAGCGAGAATATGGGATCCACGGTGCCGTCTGGATAAGAGGTCACTGTCTTCTGCAGCCTTATGGGCCCACGTTGCTTGAACATTGGCCAGAATGTGTTCTTGAGTCCCATTGAGTGCAGTGGTAGAATGACAATAGAAAGGAGAGTCAGCAAGGCTGTGGAAAAGTAAATAACCTTCCAAGGCCAAACGGACAAAAAACCCGACCCAAGAGATGCTGAAGTATTTGCGATGGCAAGGGCGGGACTTTTCTTCAGAATTAAATACTTAATTAACCCTTCTGACATTTCCTCATCCTCAAACTACAGAAAGCAGCGTAACCTCAATGTTTTCCATTTCATATATTTTCCACCTGGACCTTGATTGCCACCATTTGGTTAAAATTTCGGATCCAATCATATTTTCTGTAGAGTTAATAACACCTCAGTAAACTGGAGAACAAGAAACTCAAGCAGTGTAACACAAAATGCATTTTAATCATGTCCTAACACGATGAGCTCGCTCTGATAATTACTCTACAGTTAATTATTTGGTTTTTTTGGGGACGTGTGTATTTCTTGATTTGTTTCAGGAACTTTTGCAGAAAAGCGAAAAGGATCAGACTCACTTCAATATTAGTTTTAATTGAATTCATGTTATACTCCAACTGTACACTTACCTGTATGTATAACTGTTTTCTTCTATAGGAAAACCCTTACATGTGCAACAATGAATGTGACGCTACCACCGAGGAGCTGGCTCACCCTCCTGAGTTGATGTTTGACTTTGAGGGTCGCAACCCCACAACCTTTTGGCAATCCACCTCCTGGAAGAAGTACCCAAAGCCCCTGCAGGTCAACATCACGCTGTCATGGAACAAGACCGTTGAGCTGACGGATGACATCGTCCTGACCTTCGAGTCCGGCCGACCGGAGCAGATGGTCCTGGAGAAGTCGCTCGACTACGGCCGGACCTGGACCCCGTACCAGTTCTACGCCACCGACTGCCTGGATGCGTTCACCATGGAACCCAAGACAGTGAGTGACCTCACCCAGCGCACCCTGCTGGATATCATCTGCACTGAGGACTACTCCAGAGGCTACGTGTGGAAGAACGACAAGACGGTACGCTTTGAAATCAAGGACCGCTTTGCCCTGTTCGCCGGCCCTCGACTACACAACATGGCCTCTCTGTACGGCCAACTGGATACCACCAAGAACCTGCGGGACTTCTTCACCATCACCGATCTGAGGATTAAGCTGCTGAAGCCAGCCACTGGAGCCACCATGGTGGATGAGAACAACCTGTCCAGATATTTCTACGCCATCTCTGACATCAAGGTGCAGGGCAGGTAAGAGCAATTAACTTCTGCTGGCGGCTTTTATCGATTAGAATTATGCATGTGCTGTTGCTGCTTTCAAGTTTTTCAAAATGTTAAAATTCCCGACTCATGGGACAAAACTGCACGATCATGTTTCTCCAATTTTCTTAATGTTTCACCAGTATTTTAATGGCCCACTTTCATCTTCTTTCACCGACTGCAGAGCTGTTAAAACGTCCCCTTTTTCCAGGTGAATGTTCCCCTTAAATACGTCTTCAAACAGCAGGAGCTCTGTGATGAGGCTGCACAGAGCGATCTCCCTCCTTCTCTTTAACGTTGAATAAGGCACGATTGATATTTATACAATAAAACAGATTGACGGAGTTTGTGGAACAATACATTTCACACAGCATCAGTATAAAACAGACCATGATTGGCCAACTTTGTGCCGCGGAGAGCAAACAGTCTGCAGGTTTTTATTGCAAACAAAGACACCACACAGTGTTTAGCTTCCCCTCGAGGAAAGAGGAAGAAGTCAGTGAAATCTCCTGCTGAGGTGATGAGCACAAATGACAGACTGCTGCTCTTCCGTGGCATATGGTTGACCACCCCAGGTATACACCAACCTTCCCTTTGCTGCGACAAAATATTCATCCATCACTTTATTTTTGTGAATTTGATTAAATGATTCTTTCTGCTGGCGTGCAGCTGGTCTGGTTTTAGAAAACACCATAAAATGACCAGCAGATTTTACTGCCACAGACTAAACCTGAACAACTGACTGAATAAAAGTCTACAGGAGTGTTTAATGAAGTGTAACTGTATGAGTGGCAGTGTGTAGGCGGCCTGCACTAAGTACAAGACTCAAAACATGTTCAGACACAGAGATTACTTATCAAACCCTGACTAAGAGGGTGAGATTGCCAAATGTGAGCAGTGATTTTATGGATTCCTCATGGCTAACCTGTTAAAGAACAACCACTTGTCCCATAAGACATCCAGCAACATCAGCATAGTTTTCTTTCGGGACGATTTTCACTCTTCTTTTAGCTCATGTTTGGTCTCCACCAACTCTTAATGACTCAGTTTTCACCAACTGCTCATGGCGCTGAGGGGAAATGTAGATTTGAATGATAAATCTCTGTGGGTTTGTCACTGCAATCCTCTTTAAATACTCATCTGAGCTTTAGAAAGAGCAAATTGAAACTGACTTGTTTGAATTTAGATTCTCCTCCCCCCTCCACTTGCGGCACAAGGTCACAGTTCTATCATTTTCCAATTTTAAAGCCCTCGTTTTAGGGTAAGATAAAGATTTCCAGTTCATGTGCCGTTAACACAGCCTGCAATTTTGCAGTGTATAATGCTTCCAGTGAGTCATCAGGATGCCTCTGCGATTTTCAGGGAATGGAAACATTGTCGTTTCATGACGCATGGAAATGGCCCACGCGACGCTCGTAAAGCCTCTACAGCTGCTCTCCGAATGGGACCTGTGTTGCTTGCTGCCGTTGGTTTATATGAGGATAACTAGGTTGGTAATGACCCATCAGATGGGCCCTAGGTGAATTGAAACAGTTTCTCCCTAATTAGAATTCAGTCGACTTCAATGGCAGATTAGAACCATTAGCATGTTGGCTAATTGGTATGAGACTAATCTTGTAATTAAGAGCATTTGCAGCTGATTAAATGCTAATCATCGGGGACACATCAGTGAAACATGGAGACATTCCGAAATGCCAGGCTGTGGTTCCAAATTTAGCTTTGCCCTGTTTAATGACAAGTCGATTTATAGTTTAATCTATGAAGTTTCCTTTATTAGCAAGTGTTTCTTTAAATAACTCACATTTCTCTCTAGTACTTATTATAACAAGTTAAAACATTAGACATCTTCTTTCGTCACACGTTCGTCACAGTGGTGCAGGGTGATGTTCCCATAATCAGAGGAACACGGTCAGCAGTCAGACACACTGTCCCAACATTCACACTCATACTATAAACGCAAATTGAGTTCCAAATTGCCAGACCAGCCACCCAGCACAGACCAGCACAGACCAGCGTCTCCCTTCTTTTGCCATTTATTAGGAAGAGTAGCAAAAGGTTGTATGTGGGGGGGGAAATAAGCTATTTTGCCCAATTTTCCATCCCGCCTCTGGGCTTCAAATTCAATTTTCCACCAAAAGTTTGCAGTGAGAAAGAAAAGAAAATAAACATGCAATGTCTGTCCAGAGGTGGATAAGTAACTCACTTGAAAGAGGGTGATGTAGATGGGGGGGTGGGGGGGGGGGACTGATTGGAGCTTCCACCAGCCTGAGCAGCCTCCTGGCTACGACCAAATGTGAGAGCGTTATCACAGAATGGCCATCCTGTCGGAGAATACTCCATAAACGCTGATAAACTTTCTCACACACACACACGCAGCTGAATATTTGCAATGTCAGGTATCCCGGGGATATGTTCGTGAAAGTCTGGGCTCTGAATGGATGCTCGCAAGCTGCATAAATGCCAAATAAAATCTTCTCAATGAACTGATTTTGCCTACTTTTACATTTTATATTTTAGAAATAAAAAAATAATATGAAGTTTCTGTATTATACTGAGTGCACACAAAACTTTAATGAAGGACGCTCATTATCTGCACACTCTTGGAAGTCATTGCGAGAAATCCCAAACTTAAAGCGCCTGAGGCAATTTGATGGAACCCGTGCACACACCAATAAAAGTAAATAAAATTCCACTCACAGATAAATCCTGTGTAGCCTCAGATGACAAGACAATATAAAAAGACTCCGAATGGATTCTTCTTAATAATGTAAGAATCGTCACAGAACACAAGTTTATAAAAACGGGCTTTACAAGGCTGAGAATCACATTGCACTTAGAAAATACCTCAACAAATCTCCCTCTGCAGCGGTCTTGAAAAGTTGAGGATAAAAAGAGACATGAGGGAGATTTTGTTTTCCCACTTCTCCTGAGTTAAGAGTCGGAGGTGTGTGGCGGCACTGGCCGTGCTATTGATTTCTAATGTTATTCCACATCAACAGGAAATAAAAACCTTGAACCATGCAGGCTGTCCCACCTTTCACGTCTCCTTCTCCGTCGTTCCTCACTTATTGATCCGATGTCTGCTCGTTAATTAAGACATGACCGCTGCCGGCCGGCTGCACGGTCAGAGCTGCACATCTGTAAGGTGCAGCAGGGCCTGGGAATGAGAGGCAGCTAATCCATAAGTGCTAATGTGCGTTTTCTCTCATCTCCTATGTCATCCTCAATTTTTTTCTTTCACCTTTTCACTCGTTTCTTTCTTAACTCACAGTTTCTTCCACTTTCACTTCCCCTTTTACCCAGTATTCATTCATTCTGTCAAGGCAACCCTAAGAATAAAAACTGCCCAACATGGCTGCGTCCTTCATGGACTGTTTGTCCATTATAATCTCCTCATTTTAATTCAGAACTCAAGACCTCAATGAATAAAAAGTAATCACAACTGGGGGCATTTTTTTAAATTAACTAGTCACTCACTAACAACACTAAAAATAAATATGACATATTTCTTTTCTGTGCTATAAAGCGGAGAGTAAACAAGGAATAACTTGTGCATCTTACTGAATCAGGAATTGTGCGGAGATGTTGATCATATAATTGAACCCTTTGTGTACATTTTGGCAAACACGAACACAACTGAACATATTCAATAAAAGATAGTGAATTTTCAGACGGTTTTGTGATGTGAGACCTTTGACCACAAAAATAAAATCTATAAATGTTTGTGCCAAATTAGATTTAAATCAAAACAATCCTCAAGGACCTGACACACATACAGACAACCTGAAAGAGTTACCCACAAATAATAAATCGTAATCTTCATCACCAAGTTGGTGGTTTGATCCGCAGCCATTCTAGTCAATCACTTCCCCTCTACTGTCATGGGAGTGAGATTGTGTGTGAGTGGGTGAATGAGAGGCACATTGTAAATTGTACTGTGCAAAACATTAATTGAAGTAAAGTGCAGTTATTTAAGGTAAATTTACTTGCAAGTAGAAAATGAATTTCATTTGAGACGAGTTCAAGGACACGCTGACAGACATCAGACGATACATTAGCCTCTCTAACCACTCGAGTTGGCCCCGCTGCATGAACTCATTTATGAGAGTCTTTTCTGTAAATGCACTATTTCATTTTCCACCGAGCTGCAGTAATGATTGATAGCATCGTATAATAGGACCTGTGTGAGCGTCTTCTGTGACAGCCTCCTTCATTAGAGCACGTCCTTGCTTGCTTTGATCGACAGTCTCCCTGTCATCTGATGAGGATTTCCACATGGCTTTTCTTCAGCTCTTCATAAACCTTTTTAACCTTTTTTAGGATTCACATATTCACATTAGCTTTGTCAGCTGCTTCAATGCAATACTGGTCATTCTTGCCAGAGGACTGCACTTGAAAACCAGAATGTCCCTCACTGGAGCGCATACCTCCGCCAAGGCCCAAAGGTTTCCTTGAAGTCAATCAAGCTGAATGAAGTTTCACACACTCATAGAAATCAGTTGCATCAAGATCCATGAATCTTGGAAAATGGGTGAAAATGTTGAAAAAAGTTAAATAAAGTCTGGATTTGGACCAAATTTAGATTTTTCTTCCACCAAATCTTTTCATGTTCATTTGTTATTTTGCTGACAAAAAAAAACGGTGAGGCATGAAAACATTGGCAGACGTTTTATTAGTCAGCTTTCTAAAACTGGCACATTTACAGAACTGTGGTTTAATGTGTGTTTTAATGTAGTGATGCACACATATCAAAGCCGCACCATTCAACATCTGGTCGGATCAGTACTTGCAAAGACAGATGTTGAGGACTGAGAGGCTGGAATTAATTAATTTAACATGTATGTATATGTGAGGGGGTCCCACTTATGTGCAGCCCCATAATAGGCCTGGGTTCGGGGTTGATAGCATTTGTTATGGTGCACTTCTTCACCCACTGAAAACTCTGCTTTTTAAACACATGAGGAGTTCTGCATATTTAATATTAACATGAC